GGTACAATCTTCACAAGTCGCCTCGTGATTTATAAATATCACATTGTGAGTTTTCTATATTTATTATTATTTTATGTCTGCATAACGAAAAAGGCAATACAAATTTGTTTATTAATCATTCGAGCTAGTAGTACCGTCAGTACAATTCACGGAGAAAATCAACACCGAACGAACAAGTCGTCGCGTGACAGAAATCTTATGGGGTTTCTATCCTATATAAAGACATCGAATATCAAAAAGGTTTTGATGTATTATAACAGTTATTGCTTCTCCTAACCGATTCTGTTAAAAAGCAAAATTAAAACGTTTCGGTGGTGATAGCACTATTTGGTTTTCAAGTTAAGGAAATATGTTAGAATTAAAGATATATTGATCTAAAGAAAGTAAAATGTAAAGCGTGGTATACATTTTTTTCGGAGGCTGAAAATAGTCTTGAATCACTGGCATCATATCGAGCTTTTCATGGAATCCCTTTCTTCAGCTATGAACAAAACAAGAATCTGCGATCTGAAAAGTGTTGTTATACTGCATTGGTTCTGCCATTTAACAAGAATAGCCCTACACTTACAAAATTACCGGTAACATTTCCGGAGTGCCAAACACACTGTAACTTTTTGAGACGTTTTCCTTACTCAAGTGTTGTATCAGTGGCCCTCATGCTTACGCAGATCACTCGTTTTAATAACGGATTAGTTACATTTAAATGCTTGATAAACAAAAAGTGTACGAGGAGTTGAAAGAGCTACAAAAAACGTTTAGTATATTGATCAGTGGGATGCAACTATACGAAATGAAGCTTTGGTTACTCACCTACTTTTGAGTGACCAAGTGAATGAGCAAAATCACAGACCTGTAGGCATTTTACCAACAATTGCAAGAATTTCATATTACCAACTCAGCGAATTTCAGCCGATTTTTACCTATACTTGTTGGCCCTCAAGAGGGGTTTTGGATGCCAGTCTATTCTGTTGAGACTTCTGAAGCATTTTCTTCGGCCTTTGGGTAGCAGGCCAGTATGTTGTAGCCATTTTGATGAACCTGTACAAGGCCTTCGACTGCATCCCACACAATCTGCTCCTGAGATGCTGTAAACCTTTGGGGCTACTGCCAAACTCATCGGCAGCTACCTCAGTCCAGGTTGAGATCTGCTAAGGCTGCTAAGGAAGGGCGTATCTCATGGATCTTTATTTGGTCGTCTGATTTTTAATGTTTTATGAATTATCATTTTTTTATCATGCTGATGGTATTCTAGTGACATGATCAACAGTTGCTTTATTTGACGACTTCTTCCACGAAAATGGTGATGATGGCCATTGAATATCGAACCAACTACTGCAACATCATAGGTTTAGAATGCAGAGAATTGTTCCCTAGAAATGGAATGTTCACAATAGAGTAACTGAAATAATCGCGCTTATCACAGAGCTTGGTGGAAAACTGTCTATGTTGATTTCATTGTTGGAAAAAATTAGATCATCAGCTTATGTTGAAAAGTATGTCGTGATTGTGATTTCAAATTCTAGTGGGTAAATACGATGGACGTGATCATGAGAGCTCCTGCTACCTAAGACAAGACATCAATATTATATCTGAAAGTGAAATTGAGGGATTTTGCAAAGTTTTTGTGTCCTAATTTGATAAGTTCTTTGATAAATTCCTCCTCGTATGAAAAAAATCAGCCAATAGAGAGAATAGCAGAAATTCGATCATTTTGTTTACATTTCGCAGTTGATTCGATATTCAAAGGCCCGTTTCAATTATTACGTGTAAATCTTTCATTTGTTCATATTTTGCCCTAGTTTTGTTGAATTCGATTTTCGATTATGATTATGTTGACGTCAGTGTTTTGTTTTTTGTACCGCCCTTCGACTCTTCAGAAAGAGAGCTCTCATATCAAGAGAAAGCACGTGTTTTGTCAGTTTAGGATATGATAAATACACCCGCTCAAAAGTTAAGCACCGTCATCTTCAAATTTGAAATCTGAACCAAAAATCACACATTCAAGTAGATTGTCAACACTGTTTAAAACGAGGTCATTTTATAGAGATGTAACACACGTAAACCCTTGTGCATGATATGCACGTGCCAGGTAAAGTTCACACCTACATTTTTCATAGTGTTTTCAAAGTCTTTTATCGGTTGTATACCGCGTGCAGCTATGCCTAGACGACGAATTATTGGCATTCATAATACGGGAATGTCATGTAGGGAAATTGGACGACAACTCAATATTACCCACACCGTCATCAGTCGTCTAATACGTAAGCACGTTGCTACTGGGAATGTCTTAGATCGACAACGAAGTGGAAGACCCAGAAAAACAACTGCTCGTGATGACAGAATGATTTTGAGGAGCCAAGATCGACAAGTCGAACTCTAAGAGACAGATGGCAAGTCAACGCCCGATTGTCTCTCAGCACGTTGAAGCGGAGACTAAAAGCTGGTGGACTTTCTTCACGTCGTCCTATCCGACGTCCTCTTCTCACCCAGAGACATATCCAGGACCGATTGCAGTGATGCAACACACGGCGCGGTTGGAATATTCGGTCATGGAGACGTGTTCATTGGTCTGATGAAAGTCGGTTTCTTTTGCACGTTATTGACGGGAGAAGCCTGATATGGCGACCACGAGGTACTGCCTACCATCAACATAACATCCAGCCAGAAATTCCATTCGGTGGTGGGTCTGTGATGGTATGGGGTTGCTGTTCATATGATTGTAAACTTGACCTCGTCCAAGTCCAAGGCAACCTCAATGGCGAAAGGTACCAGAATCAGATCCTTCAAACAGAAATTGTGCCTCATATTGATAACCATACGCTTTGTGTTAACAAATTATTGTTTCACTTTTTGATGATAAAAAGTTGACTGCTTTTCGTTAACATGAAAACATACGGATCACTTTCTTATCTGCTGTTCTATAAAAGTATTTCTGATAAAGAAATGGACAATTTTAGTGGGATGACTGAGGAAAATGTACCATAAAAAGGGAATGGTGAAAATACAGCAGGTGTAGTGAATAGATTACGTAATAACATTGGTGAACTGTTTGAATTATGTAACCCTGATATTTACGGCATTGAGGGTATTAATGAATGTGTTGAAGGATTCACTGATAGATTAAATCAATTGATTCTACCATTATGTAACAAGGTAATTAATAAACGACCCCACGTATCAGGGGGTGTTGCTGAACAAGACAAACCATGGTTCAATCAGGATTGCAAGAACAAATATATGGAGTATAAAAATGCACTTTATGATTTTAAAATATATCTAAAAATGAAGAGTCCCATCGTCACCTTGTATTTAAGAAGAATATATACAAGAAATCTGAAGTGAAACTCAAACGAGAGTATAAAGGTCACCAAGGTAATATGTACAATTATTTAAGGAAGCACAATGCAGTCAGTACCTTTTAATCATTCTGGAGTGTAATTTGAGAGAAAGGAATGATACTAACAATTATATGAAAGGATAAATTCCACTGTAACAAAATTAGGTTACAAGATAACATATTGAATGAGCATTTTATAAGGTGTAAAGAAGTTTTGATGCCATGTGTAATAACACTTTTTAATGTTTTAAAGTCAGGTAATTACCCTACACTTTGGTCTCAAGGAAATAATGTACCAGTTTTTTAAGAAAGGAGAAAGGAATGATACTAACAATTATAGGGGTATTACACTTGTCAGTTGTTCAGGAAAACATTTACTTCTATTTTAAACTCAAGATTGGTGGAGTTTGACAAAATTATAACAAAATTTCCGATGCTCAGTATGGCTTTAGAAAAGGAATGTCTACGATTGATGCTATTTTTGCTCTGCAGTCTTTGATTAGTAGAACACTAAAGAAAAGAAAGAGGCTTTATTGTTGTTTCATAGACTATAAGAAAGCGTTCGATTTTGTTAGTCGTCAAAATTTATGGTACAAACTAATAAAGGAAGAAATTAATGGGAAAATATTAAATATTATTAGATCTCTTTATAGGAATGTCAAATGTTGTGTTATGGCCGGAGGGTCTCCGTCAGATTTTTTTAATTGTGAAAATGGATTATTCCAGGGAGAAATTCTCTCACCTATTTTATATTCATTTTATGTTAATGATTGTGAAAAGCATTTTTTTAATGACAACTGTCCGTCTATCGAAATACAGATGACAAATATATTTCTTTTAATGTACGCCGATGACATGGTGATATTGTCGGAAACTCCGGAAGGGTTACCAAAATTACTAGACTCCTTATTGGAATATACACAGAAATGGAATCTTACAGTAAATACTTCTAAAACTAAAATAGTCATATTTCGTAATGGTGGAGTTATCAGGGCAAATGAAACATGGATTTATAATGGTTGTGTTTTGGAAATTGTCAACGAATTCAATTATCTTGGTGTTGTGCTTAATTACAACGGTAAGTTCCGCATAACTCAACAGAAAGTAGCAGAACAAGGAAAGAAAGCGTGGTTTGCAATAAGGAAATTATGCCGTAGTATTTTTTTCAATCCTGAAACACCAATCTCGGTTTTTGATACTTACGTAAATAGTATACTCACTTATGGAGCTGAAATCTGGGGACTGCATAAAGCACCCGACGTAGAAAAGGTACATTTACATTTTTGCAAAAGATTACTGAAAGTTCGTAAAAGTACTCCTAATTGTATGGTTTATTTTGAACTTGGTAGATATCCTTTATATATCACACGTAAATGCAGAATAATAAAATATTGGTTAAAACTTAAAAACACAGAAAATTGTATTTTACAAGCATGTTACAGGGAGATGGTCCAAAATAATGATATTTGGATAACTGGTATTAGGAATGACCTATAATATGGGAATCTCGACATCCAGACATTAATATGTACGCTATTTTCAAACAGAGAATAATTGATATATTTCGTCAAGACTGTATTGATAAAATAAGTTCTTCCCCAAAAGGTAATAGTTTCCTCTGCAACGAATTTTGTTTACAAGAATATCAGAGAAAGTCACTTGATAGTCTTAGCCTAAAAGAATTAAGTAGAATTAGACTGTCTTCACACGAGTTACTTGTAGAAACTGGGAGATATATAGAACGAAACCGTAGACTGTACTTACTTTGTACAATGCAAGACATCGAAGATGAATTTCATTTTATTTCAAAATGTCCTTTCTTTCATTCACTTCGCAAGAAATTTATTAAACCTTATTACTATAGAAATGTCAGTATGTTCAAATTGATAGGGCTCTGGTCTACTAAAAGTAGAAAGGATATCTCAAATCTGGCAAAATTTTTAAAACTTGCAAACAAGAGAAGACTAGAAGGTCTGCAATAAGTAAAGGCTATTTTTCTTAGAACTTGTACACTGTATGTCTATACTGAAGTTACACAGTGTGAATCGTTTTAAAAACATTTGAAATCTGTGGTAAAATCCTTTTTCCTATGTTCGTAACATGGTATATTAATAGTTCTATGCATAACGTATGCTTGTTATTTCAACCTGTAATCATTGTAAGATGGTGCTATGACGAGATTGATAACAGGAAATTGTTTATAGCTAGAATATGTTTTATTTGTATTAAGGTCATTCTCTACATTATATGTTAGATTTGTGTGTGTGTGTGTGTGTGTGTGTGTGCGTGCGTGCGTGTGTGTGTGTGTGTGTGTGTGTGTGTGTGTGTGTGTGTGAGGTTGTGTGTACGTGTGTGTCTTTCTGTGTGTGAGGATATGTGTGTGTGTGCGTGCGTGCGTGCGTGCGTGTGTGTGTGGTGCTAAAGTATTATGTGACGTCTATACATTGTAAATATTCAATTGTCTACTGATGAGCCAGATGGCTTAAAGTAATAAAGAACTTGAACTTGAACTTCCGGTTTCTTTTTTCTCAAAGGAATTATATAAACCTTGGCGACAATAGAGGTGTCATTTTAGTCTGTTCTGATATAGTACCAAACTACAGGTGGAATATTTACCTGTACTTTCTGATATAGTATTTATAAACAGATAGATTATCTACCTGTAATGATTTGATATAGTACTTATATACAGATAGATTATTTACCTGTAATAATTTGATATAGTACTTATATACAGGTAGATTATTTACCTGTAATGATTTGATATAGTACTTATATACATGTAGATTATTTACCTGTAATGATTTGATATAGTACTTATATACAGGTAGATTATTTACCTGTACTGTTCTGATATAGTACTTATATACAGATAGATTATATACCTGTAATGATTTGATATAGTACTTATATACAGGTAGATTATTTACCTGTATTGTTCTGCTATAGTACCTGTATACAGGTAGATTATTTACATACAAATGTACCTGTATTGTTCTGAGATAGTACCAATATACATATATATTATTTACCTGCACTCTCCTGATATAGTATCTATATACAGGTAGATTATTTACCTGTACTCTTCATTACTATAAAATAACACCTTTTTCCTGGTTTTGATTTTAACTTTAAGAAAACACCAAAATCAATTAAAAAAAACCTTTGTATTTGTTCTCTTGGATACTATAAACTACTGACATATATTAAAAGATGCAATGAAAAAACATTCAAGTTATGTAGCAATATGACGGAAAATATAATAAACAGCAAAATGAAATATGTATTACATTGTTTCAATATACAAACAAATATCCATATGTACAAACAAAAGCTATGACATCTACACAGGGAATTCATAGAATAGGTTAATAAAAGTTAGAATATTTATGAAATACACACATACAAATATATATATTTGATACTTATGCAATAGCACTGATGAAATGAAAGTCCATAATAAGCACTAACAATGAATAGTCCATATTTGATACTGATTACGAAATCGTAAGCGGATGTGAAAAGGTAAAGCATCACTTGTCCGACCAAGTGGTTTTTTCTCCTGGGTCGGCCAACAAGAGCAATCAATCTAAGCTATAAACCACAACTGTTGTAAAATAAATAAAGTTTATATCAATATACCAAATAAAAAAACCCATAAGAAACACATTTACAAGTTCACACAATGTAAATTCAATCGCCCATGAAATAAAGCTAAGGAAATGCGTTATAACACGCTAAAACTATCTACTTATCTGATGCACCAAAACATGTCACCAAAATCTACATGGAATATTTAGTTACTGACCCTACTTTGTTAGGCTTTTCAAAATGCAGCATATAAATAGATATGATCTTGGACCACGGATTCCTCATCGTAAGATTTTCTGGGATTGTAAAGCTATGCTTTAAGCCTGCCAAACTTTCAATATTTGATAAGGAAGCATCATGTAATACAGTGGAAGTAACCCTAGAGGTGGCTACATCTGATGTATGGGGAAAGTGCATAGAATTTCTATGTAAATTACAAATGACAACATATCAGAAAAATGATATAAGCTGATTTGTATTCAAAATGATAAAATAATCAATTTGTACATTTGAAAACTTAGGTAAGAGAAAAGCAACGAGGAAAAAAATGCAATAATCTGAGTATTTGCGTTAACATAAGGCAAATTTTATCAACAAAAATTTCATAATGTTTCAAAAATCAGAGTTCCTGGTGAACATTCTCTGATTTTGGGTACACAACATCTACACCTGCCAAAGTCCTTGCGTGATCTTTACTGAAATGTAGAAGGAGGGCACGTTTTATCTCAGCTTGTTCCTCCTCAAACTCATCACTTATCATTGCCTTCTCGAAAAATGCAATAGATTCCTTAACAGCTGTTGTCAAAGGAGTTGGATTCCATCCAATAATGCGCTTTGCTTTGGACGTATCGATAGAGCCCATGGATACGGAGGGGAACATGTATAGAGCAGAAGACCAATTATCGTCAGGGGCAGACAACTCTGGAAAATTATACTGTTGCTGTGATGGTGCAGACGGCCACAGGTATGTCATAGCTGAGTTTTTCTTTACATTAATCTGAATATCCGGACGGTCTAAATAGGTTGCCATCAATTGTAGCATTTCTGTCAAAGTTGGGTTTTCCTCAAATGCCAAATTGTATGCCTCATTGAAGACACCTGCATCAGAATCCAAAAGCTGAATAATCAAATCTGCTACATCATAAGAATAAACAAAGCTCAATGGCCGATTGCTTACTTCATCTGGTATCTCCAAGGGGCGATCAAGATAGTCAAGCATTTTAATCCAAAGCTGGTATATCCACCAGCGGTAGGTATTGTCACGTGGTCCGATTACATCTGGTAGGCGCAAAGCAACATATGATACACCTCCTTCCTTTTGTGCCTCTAGAACTTCTTCTCCTTCTAACTTCCTATCGCCGTAAACATCTTTTTGATTGTATAGAACTCTTTCTGCTTCCGATACAGGACGAACAGAATCTGACTCAACAGTTGGATTACTATGGTTTTTTATACAAACCTCGTAGGTTGAATCGGAACTGATAAAGATATATTGTTTGATTCTACCCTTGAGAACATCCAACACATCTGCCACATCTTTTCCTGCAAACGAACTGAAATCAACAACAGCGTCAAAGATAACATCCTTCTCATCACCTGAAAGCAAGAATTCCATTTCCAGGCACTCGCGCAAGGAGTTGTGACGATTGCATTGTATTGGCGTTACAAATGGAAGGATGAGCGTGGATGTGTCCCAATACCAATTACCGCGATTAACAACCATCAAGTTGTCCCCTCTTTCAATAAGGCGCTCCATAGAAGCAGAACCTAACAGTCCATTTCCACCCAGTACAAAAATTGTCTTTGCACTCCCAGTACTGAATTGAAGCAGCAGGTATAGAGATGAAAGTATCGTGAAGGATTTTAGCCATTTGACAGTCGTTGTCATCCTGTCCTTTTGGTGTGACAATCTGGCTTTCTCTAAATTCAATGGAAATTTAGAAATCTGGAATAAAAAGAAAATGAACTAATTAATTGGTAAATGCTTCCATTTCAAATGATTCCATGCTGGATTCATCAATATAAAACAAAGTGCACTTTTTTTTCAATTTAAACATTTACATTTCCAGAGAACAGACATGGTCCTACATATGTAGTTCCACAAATATTTGGTGACATGTAAAAAGAGTAAGCTATACTTTGAAAAGTTATCATTAAAACTCTGAAAATTATTGAATCTCTTCCAAACAAGAAGATGCCAACATTTGAACATAATCATAATCCAAACTCAAATTCAATCCATCGATATATTTTCCACGAATCTAAGACCTATCATATATACAAAATGCCTGATGATGATAATGGGCAAAAAAAGAGAAATATTTTCTTAGAATGCTTCCAAGACCTCCATCCTGACACTATGGATACTTTCCGGTCATCGTATCTAAGGAAGTTGCAGACATTTTAATCCAAGCATTGCTTGGAAAAGTGTATGGACATCCCAGGGTATACATAGAAATACGGCCTTCTAAACTGGTAGATGAACAATTTTCATTAATGAAATCCATATCACAATAATAAATGAAAAGACGATATAAAATTGGTGATAGGATTTCCTCCTAGTAGAAACTAGTCGTGTTAGTGAAGTAATTTAAAACAAAATTTTTTAAAAAAGTAATGAAAGATGAAATAAAATATCTGCCACTTTTATAATTGATAATATACAACCGGGTGACCACATTTCTGGAAAAAATTCGGAATCAAATATTTTTGCAAAGAGTTTGTCACAATCCGACTCTATTTTTACGGTAAGTATTGCTTTACCGGCGATTGTACGGTTGCTCAGGGCTTCCATAGGAGAGAGTCCACCCGGTATTGAATACAGGTACACAGCATGGAAATGCAGATGCCGTTTTATTCTGCCGTTTTATTCTGAAGAAGCGTGAATAACAGTCACGGTAAGTACACAAATGATCTCATATCTCTTTCGCTTTCTTTCTCTGTGTATATATAATCTGTGGTTTGAATGTTTATGCCGAAAGTTATGTTTAAGTGTGTATGAATGGATTTGTTTATTGTGTTTACCGGGTACGCTCGTGCAAGCTCGTGCGAACTGTTTACGTAGCTTTCTACCTGTAAATGTTGCATAACGAAGATACATAACGCTTGTTATGATAACAATACATAATACCTAATGTTGTAAAGGTGTAACAGTAATACTGTAGGGTTATTTTCATATTTTGTAGCTTTTTGTATGGATAGGCTTTGTCCAAAGTGGGAAGTACGGAAGCCAGGAGACTTCATGTGTCTACAGCAGTTCTGACTCTGCTTTATGTATATAATTGAACAGTACTTGTACCAGAGTTCACAGTACATGGTGATAGTGGGAGGTAGAGTACACTACGCAAGTGCACTCGAGAGTAGCCAGTACGGCCACTAATTTGCCCTGTGGTTGACACTTACATGTTGGAAACCAAGAGGTGTCGTGCCAGGTTCGTTGTTTCAAACTGAAGCCATCAGCGCTGGAAGGTACAGAACCAACGAGGCATCAGTCGGTTTGGACAACAGTTGTTTCTCCATGAAAGTGTTTTGGACAGACTTTGACAATTCTATACCATCTGTGCTAACCCAACTGTGATAGGAATGTGAGGCTACAAAGACTTTAGGGTTTAGGTTTATTTGTGTGTGTATGTACTGGTGATTGTGGATTGTTTCAGTGGAAGGTGTAATGAGTGTATGGTGAACTGATTTTTATAGAAAGAAAAAAACAAAAAACAAAAACATAACTTGTATAAATGTAAATATATAAATATATAACAATGTGTTTGTTGTCTGTGTGGCAATCGATCGGCTAGGTTACAGAGTTCAGTAATACAAAGAAGAAAAATAACCTAAATCCATGAAAAGTTGGTTTAAAATTTTCACTACAACTTTTTATCTTGTTTTAGTTTATGAACACAATATGTACTTTGTCTTCTGTAAAAAGAATCTATATTTTCAGCTAAAGCATCAGCACCAACTAGATTCTTGTTCTTACCCCCATCTAAATTCTTGAAACGTTCTAAAAAATCTTCAATATCAATATTAGATTGCTGTAACTTATTTCATTCCTTTGACAAATATCTACTTAACATTTTTGGGTTTGACTAATTTGAACAAATCATCTTCTTGATACTATTATTGTTATTTTAATCAAGATTTTAGTTACCTATACAAACTTTTTTTTTCACTTAGTACAGCGTGATGTGATTTTCAACAGACTTACATTTATTTGACATTATTTCAAAAAACCATAGTTTGTCACCAGCTTTGTTTTTTTCTCTCTGCCTTTACGCTACAATTTGACAAGACCACTTCATTAATACTAACTACCACAGAAAATGTCAGTTCATTTATCAGCACCTTCTTCAGAGTTGAAAAGCAAGTCACAAGCATCATTAAGGATCTCCACTATATCAATGACATCGCCTGAAAAACCACCATTGTTATTTCTGTTCCATCTAACTTTTCTGAAGGATTTCACAGTGCGTGGTTTGTCAACATGATTAACACTTAAACTACTAAAATCAAGGTTAAGAGATAGTGGTAAACAATCAAGAGTATCAAACTCGCCTGAGACAAATATACAAGGGCTGATTGATAAGTTGTGAGCCTCATATTTAAGGGTTTGACTTTTAGCGGACATATTGCAATATTATTCAACATAACCCCTTAAGTATCTTTACACTTTTGACACCAATGTTAAGGGCCTCAATGCTGTTTTCAATGAAATCTTTTTTAAGAAATACATGAAAGTCTGATGTAGCAAGATCAGGCTAAAAAAGCTCAATAAATTCAAAACCACAATTGTTAATGACAGCCATGACAATGACATAATTGTGAATATGGGCATTGTCCTGGCAGAACAACTCACAGCCATTGAGTTTAATATTTTCTCTCAACTGCCCAAGAGGTGATGCATGTGTTTGTTTTATATTGCTGTTGTAACTTTTGGAAAATGAAATAAAGTTATATAATACTTACATAATAATTCAAGTTTGTACTAAAACAATGATAAATTATGGATATAAAATTTCACATCCACTAAGAAATGAAGTTGATTTTTCAAAGTACACTAAGCAAAATATGATAATTTTTCATATTGTACTACTGCCTCATACATTATCCATTCAACAACTCCAACAATAATTTAGTTCGATTTTGAAAACTACTCAAAATGTTAATCATAAGTTTACAATTATCATCTGTCATTCATCATCTGATTAATTATCAGAGGTGAGTTACCAGTAATCTTGACCTCTACACCTGCAATAGACTATAACTCACTGTCATCACAACCGACCACCTGTGTTAACGTGCTTTTGAAGCAGAGTATCTCTGAAGAAGGCACCACGAGAATGTGAAAATTTTGGGTCGTGGCTAGCGATCGATACAGTTAGGCAGCAGAGGTCATAGTTCAGTGATCAATAGTAATGCATATATATATATCAATGCGTTCAACATTTCCAGGGTGAATTTGTGTACACTGTTTCCCAGTTGTGGCCTCCAATACCCATACATGTAAATTTCAGCCTGTTTAAACCATTTTTGACCCTGCTCAATATCCCCTGGGAGTCAGCTGAGGTCAATAGTTCTAACCAGTTCTGAACTATTTCAAATAGAAAATAAAAAAATGTGATTTTCCTATATAAACTATGGTAAATTTTACCCCTTCTCCTGGCCCTGGAGGAAATGCAAGACCCTTGGATCTTGAAAATTCACAATTTTGGTAAAAGCATCTGAAGGCTTTTCCATCCACGAAGAGCACTGGATTCTACTTGGGATTTGAGAAGAAAATTTCTGACATTTCAGTCTATTTGACCATTTTTTGACCTCACCCAACAGCTCCTGGGGGATGGGGATGGTATAATTTACAATTTTAAAGCGTCTTTAGTCATGAAAGGTTTTTATAAAATAAAGTCGAAAATGTTTATAAGTTTAAAAAGCACCACACCGGACAATAGAGGATTGCATTATCAGAGACTTTGTCTCAAGGGACTTAATAAATCTCATTTTTCTACATAAATCTGCTTACATGTTTTAAAAATCTGACACTTTGAATGAAGTTAGATATCAAGATTTTTCATAATCAAGGTCTTGTTTTTTCATGGGTTGAAAACTTGTATGCCTATTTCAACCAGCATTGCCATTCTCAATTACATATATTATATTACTCAAAATAATAATTATTATTAAATAGAATTATTATTCAAAATAATTATTGTTATTGAACAGAATTACAAAAAGTATGTAATGAATAATAATAATAAAATTATAAATTGGGCTTCCATATAGAACGGAGTCCACGTTGCAAGACTTTGTAACATTTTTACTTCACTAAAAATGGCTGAAAGTTCTACAGTTTTAACATTATAGCAAACATGCATCGGACAGTGATTACTCCTAGCATGGGGCCAGGTCCAGGGATCAAATGTAAACATGTAAATTATGTCAATAATGCAAAACGTTGCATTAGCCTCACCCCAAAGATACAGCTTCAAATTCCTTATGGTTGGGGACAGATATCAGTTGTTAATCTCTTGATGTCCAGCAATACTATTAAGTTATGGGATGATAATCCCAATGGCTTCAAAAATATAGCATGTCCTGGGTGGAACAAGAGGCCAGGACAAATTATGAGATATGACTGTTTATGTCCTGATGCTAAGCAATGCTATAATTATTCAATGGGGATCACAATTGTTTCAAATAACCAAAGATCCCAATGAATTGTTGATGGTGCAAAGCAAGGATAAGAAAATGAACTACTCTACTTGGGTGTTAGATTTTCCCTGTTGGGCCCCATCCACCTGGCCATGCTTTATACAAAACTTATTTTCTTTCACTAAAGCATGCTTCAGACCAAATCTGAACAGTATCCTAAAGAACAAGATCAATTCTAAAGAAATTGATCAATTTTCCCTTTTGGACCCCGCCTCTCTGGCTCCATAGGACCGATACCCATTCATTTTTATATATTTATATTTTCTCTAATTGACCCTCAGGCCTCTGGGGGAGGGGGACAGACACATCGACACAAAATTGATTCCTCTTTCCCCTGGAGCTTACAACGGACGAACAACAGAAGCCGCAGTATCCCAGTTCACATGGCCTCTCAGGCCAAATGAGCTAAAAATCAAAACACTTCATGGTTGAGTGAGGCGCACGTTTTCATCTCTTAGTAAATAAAAATTCGATTAAAAAAAATCTCGATATCTAAATTAATTCATTCAAAGTGCCAGATTTTTAAAACATTTAAATTGATTTATGTAGAAAATTGGAGATTTATCATAGTTTTTGTTATCGAGATATTAATTGATTCTTAATTTTCTTGTACGGGTATAGGGGACCAGGAATTGGACACAAATCAACCATATCCATTTCCGGTGCTCCAGAGTCACATATAACATCTAGCATACTTTCTGAACCAATATATAAGACGTTACACCATAGTAAACTGTTTCCAGTACAAGTAAAACTACGCGTCGCAACTCATCAAAGAAATAAACTAAAATGTCAAATAAATACGCAACTCACCAAACCTCATCACCTTAGGACAACTTCGAATGTACTGGGTCCCTTCCGTCAACGACGCTAAACATGCAGATGTAACAAACAAACCGGTCGGCAGTTATCCGAGCCTGGCGCAAAATATTTATATTATGATATAATATCGTAAATACACGATGTTCGAAAACGGACTGACAAAACAGTGTAACCAATAGCACGTTTTCGTCAACAAAATATGTACGAACACTTTTTGTGTCAAAAAATGTACTACTATTGTAATGAATATATTTGTACAAAAAATGTGTTCGTACATGTTTTGTTGACGAAAACGTGCAACTAGTTACACTGTTTTGCCAGTCCGTTTTCAGCCATCGTATAAATATGCATCACTACAAAATACATTTCAGTTATGAAGATTATTTATCAGTGTTTATCTTCATACTTCCAGCACGGACAATGTCCACAACAAACAGCTTCTTATACTCAACTCCATCAAATACCCTGCTTCTGGTTCACCAGAGGAAGTCTTATACAGGTTTTGACAATATGGTTCTAAATCCCACCCATGTCTCTTATCATCTTTATTTTTGCAAACTTCATTGGGCTTTATCCAAGGACCCCTTTAACCAAATACCATACCTCTGCACATTTTTGTAATTTCTTTTCGCAAACTTTATCACGCTTCTTCCCAGCAATCATCAGCAAAATGCAAGGTTATTTGATCGGTTGGTTATTGAGAGGAATCGTTTAAATGGAAAGTTGATGCCGGCCATGACATAAGTACTAAGTGAGCTAAAAAATAGGTCATAACATGGCGGAAACCATAAGTGAAGTATATAATTCATGGAGCAAACGGAGTAATGACAGTGAAAAGTATGTTTTTCGGATTATTTCTAGCTGTTGTTTTCTGAAAAAAAAACGCAGTTATTCTGTTATGAGATGGAGTGCATATTTCTCTTTGTGTGTGTGTGCATGACAATGTACAGCATGCAGATAATATTACAGGATATTAATCAAGCTGAATGTACTCTGTTGGGAAATTTACAGTAAAAATCAATAAGACTTATTGATATAAGTCCAGATTTGCTGAAAAGACAAATTAAATTGTCTGTATTGAAACAACATATATTGTTTGTGAAATGTTTCATAAATGTGTGCCTGTTCACAAAGTAAACTAATTATAAGGATGAATAACACGAGTCCGTGATTGGCAAAGTATACAACACGAAATATCATTAATCCGAAACATTCGGACTTTCTGTCGACTTTTATATATCAGCTTTAAATCGATGAACATCAGAACTCCGGCTCTATATAAATTGAGGAAATAAGTGACCAGCGCCCGTGTTGGTATTCAAACAAGGAGTGTGGAAAGAAATCGCCATTTCCACATTGCACATGGGTCGAATAATTAAAATTCTAATATAGCTGAAAATATTCATGACATGTCTCTTCTACACTTCTTTATTACCCAACAATAATTGAAATCGTTGACAAGTATTCAGATTAAAACAGCAAACAAGAGGCCCAAAGGGGCTGCATTGCTCACATGGTATTCAATGTTGATAATAATGTTTAAAAAATCGGTGAAGATATAACAAATATATTGATATGTACACCATTGGCATTCAAGGTGGGCATTCCAAACAAATTTATACCAGTTTCCACAACCGACAATTCTAAACATTGACAGTTAGAGCTCAGATAATATGTTAATGCCATTCCTTTTTGTTTCTCAAAATTTGTTTTGTTTTGACCTAAAATCACTTTTTACATCCAAATATTATGCTTCTGTGGCTTTTGGTTAGTAAGGACAGAGACGTATATATCACATGTGATATATACGTCTCTGGTAAGGAGAAATCGTTTACAGGTTTTAACAATTTGACCCCTGTGATATTGAATAAGTGTCAAGGTTATTTCTTTTCTCAAACTTTGCCGGGCTTCATCCTAGCAGAGACGTATATATACGTCTCTGATCCTAGGAACCTAATTAGTTTTCAGTCAAATAATGTGCTTTGCCTTTTGGTTTGTCAGAAAAAGTCGTCACAAACTTTAACAAATTTGACCCCTGTGACCTTGAATAAGGGTCAATATCCTTTATTTCACAAACTTTGTCAGGCTACATCCAAACAGCCAAATATCATGACATTTGGTTCGCCGGCCAGTTATCGAGAAGTTGTACCCGTTTTAATGGAAAAGTAGACGCCGGACGCCTCGTCATGATATGAATTCATTTGGCCCCTCGGGCAAGGTGAGCTAAAACGTTATTAAGTGTTATAGCACTGGTAAAGTGAGTCTACTGTTAACTTTTTTTTGTAACTTTAAGGCGGCGAATCTTTCAAATATAACCGGAATCACTACCACCGCCACTGCGCATGACCCTTAGTTCCGGAAGTAAACAAACTCAAAATTACACATGACAAGACCCGTAGTAGCTTGTTCATTGAATGAAAGCATACATTTAACAATATATAGTGCTGCTGACTTGACAACGGGACGCAGTGCAATAGACAGCAATCGACAGACAGCATGTTTCAGGATGTAGATTTTGTGGAGGCTGCTAACGAGCTTCAGCGCCCGAATATTAATGAAGAGGGTTACGAATTCTTCACCGAATCGTCACACGATGGTTGTGAGGCGAAGATTTATCGACAGTACAACGAGGTGGGTCAAAGGTTGACAACACACATTGTGATACTTAAGTTTGATGGGTTCGAAAACTTTCCGTTGTATTTTTTTTTATAACAACCCAAGTAAAAATCCACAGCCCATTGTACATCATACATAGTGAACTGGAATTTTTAACAATTCAGCGTTGCAAGTGTACATATTATGTGCTGGCTTGTGTAAATCAACCTTAGGTACTTAGTCTCAATTTATAATGATATGTTTCCGATAAGCATAGCCTTCAAATTGCACTACCATTATACTAAATCTCGAAAGTTGAGTTCAATGTATCTTTTCGAGAGCCAGAAAAGATACATTTATCTTTAGGTGTGTCTGGAACCTGCCTTGAGCCCATACTTTTCCATATCTAACCTATATTAATGACCTTTCAGACTACAGCAAAATCAGTTCACTCATACTTTTGGCAGATGATAGTATTATATGCAAATCAACTCACAATATAGGAGACGCCATAAAACTGCAAGAAGACATCACTGCAGCAGAAAAAATGGAAAGGATTGGATCATGTAATTTCATCATGACAAATGCATCATCATCAATATCACATTCGTACATAACATAGTATAATATTAATACGAAATTCACAAACATGTATTACAACTTGTTGACTCAAGCAAATATCTAGATGTAACTATACGAAACAACCTGAAATGGAATAAACACATTTACAATATCACAATGTCAACAAATCGCTAGGTTTCCTGAAATACCATCTCAAAATAAATTCAACATATCTTAAATAATATATGTACAAAGCACTTATCAGACCCAAACTGAGATATTGCCCTTTTATATGGGACCCCTTTACCACCAAATCTCCTGCCAATAGCAGCAGTACATAGCTCAACACCAAGGGATTCATAGCACACATGCATCCCTTACATAGGCTTTTAAGCTTTCACACATAAACACTAACAGAACATCCATCTATAAGTTTTATCGTATACCCTCATGTTGACGAAATTAACAAGATAATAAATGTGCTTACTTAATCTCTCCATGCCTCTACACATGTTCAATCTTCTCCACCCCTTATCCACATAATCATCAGTATTGACGGATCCCTTGGAGTGGATTTACATAAAGAATAATAATATGGAAGCTATGTGTATTGAATATACACCTTCTATTGAAACCAAGTACCTATAAGTCTAACACATTTAGATTATACATATATGTAGAACCAATCAGATGTCTTTCTACTTTAGTAGTAAAATAGCTATTAGGGTTTTCCATAAGAGCCGGTCGCCGGCCAATTTGACCGGCTACTTTGATCATTTGGCTGCCTACACCAATCCAGTTCCGTAATAATGTTCCGTATATGACTACATGTACAAGGCAGGCCAGCCTCCTACTTTCACTACACAGCCTACTACTAACAAAATTATGGAAAACCCTGAGCTATATTTCACTTCTGATTCCTGTGATAATAGTGAATGATGTCAATAATAATTACACTTCTCCCACATCAAACACAGTTTGGGCTATAGACAGTGAAAACTATACACATGATAATCACAGGTATAATGTACATTGTAGCCAGCAACAATGGCTTTGGGCATTGTATGGATGATTACAAAAATTATACAGTTTTCTTCAGTCATTACAACAGACAATGCAATATTGAAATGGTAGCAACAGCAGAAATACCATAATGAAGCATTCATAGGAAAACACCTAGTTTGGGGTCCTGTAAATTTACTTGTCTAGCTTTGATGTTGTGAATGTTGTACATCTTACATTGTCACTTGGGAGATTTTCATTTTTGTCATGGTCAAGGTCAATATACCACAACCATGACAAAAAAATTTAAGTTTGGATTGGTTGTCAAAGCCCTTCAGACTAATTGGTACAAAGAAGATGGGGTGTGTTTTTTCATTTTTTATTTGTAAAAGTTGAATTTGATATTTCCATTTATTTATTATAGTGACTTTTGCAAGGAATGAATTATTCCTTATAGATTTTTTGGCTCAGAAATTAAGATTTTGCAGGTATTTACTATTTGCTGACTTTATAATTTAATTTTCATTTGACATATCAAATGCCAGGTATGAATTGAAAGTCCTACTTATTTTCTTTGTAATTTCAGACATCAGGTCTTTACAAATACAAAGTGTACGGTACATTAGCTGATGTGTCTCCAGAAGTCTGTGCCGAGGTATACATGGACTTAGAGTACCGGCGTCAGTGGGATACTTATGTTAATGGTGAGTATCATTGCTCCTTGAGTACACATCCCAAAATTTTGAAAAATATTAACTGTGTATCAGAAAAAATCATTTATTAAAAGTCAATGGACATCCAATCTGATGCAAAATTTTTTTTTGTATATATTTTACTTTTTCATTTCTTTTTTCAGAATTGTATGAGAAAGAAGATGCTGATAAAAAGCTTATTTATTGGAATGTGAACTTCCCCTTCCCAATGTCTAACAGGGACGTATCCTTTTGTATATATAAAAGAGTTATGGCCCTTTGACTGCCATGATTTATTTTTATGGGACAAATTCTCATATTCTAACTTGATCTGTCTGTAATGTACCTGATTTGGTAGGTGAGTGGTTGTTGAGAATTACATATTGAAATCAGGGTGTCAGTCAATCCCTATGAGATGTATGAAGAAATGTCATTTTTTTCATACATGAATCACTTTGTATGTGGCTAATAAACATTTGTTTATCATTAAATAGTGAATTACAAATAGCTTGTGAAGGATTGATTTTTTGTTGATAATGGTCCTTGAACATCATGAATGTGTACTTGTGAATTCTGTAACCTGGCCTTTGTGGGTATAGTTGTTTTTTTGTTTCAAAATGATATCTTTTGGTATAACTGTCTGTTCATGGAAAGATTTTCGTTATGTTTATGTTAACTTATTGTAACATGAATGTCATTGCTATGGATTCACAAACTTCACAATTCTCGTGATTTGAAGTTTCCTTGCATGAAAGGCTTATCATATGGGGCATGTCAATGATGTTATCCATAATTATCGTCTTCAGGCACCTTCTTATCACAAACTATGATGACAAGAGCCATGGTATTTGGCCAGAATTGTAATTTATTTTGTTGTTATATGAGGTGAATGAATCTGTTGAATTACAATATGTCATATTGCTTTGTCATAGACGTGTATCACAATCATATACTGTATAAGCCACAGTAGTTTTTGTTATGATAAGAGAAATAACAATTATACAATTACATTTTTTCATGAATAAAATATGGTTATATAGAAAGGTCTTAGGCAAGTAAAATAAGACAAATCACTCCTTAACTAGAGTGCAGTATATCTATCTGCGGGAGCTACGAGAAATGGAAAGTTTTGAGGGGAACAAAATCTGGGCTGTAATGGCCAAAAGTGTGCCATGTGCCAGTGTTCCTGAGAAGAAGGGTGTGATACGGGTAGATGATTATCTTCAGAGCTGTGTTCTAATGACTGATGGAAAAGTTGGTTCTAAAGGTAATATAACCTAATTTTATATTGACTAGACATTCAATGGACCATATTCAGATACATGTATAATTCTAGTAGGCTAATCGGTTGTACGTTCTCTAGCTGATTGCAAAATACTGTCTCAAATTGACGACAACAAATGGCTTGAGGATTTTCACATAGGCTTGTGCAGATATTGAATAAGAGTTATTTGCCCTTAGATGACAGTATCCTTATGATGTTGTTTTATCACCAAATAGCTTGTTTTAATTGCTGATATTTTCTTTCAGCATTTATGAAGTACTACGACAATCCAAAGGGTATGATACCAACTTGGTTGATTAATTGGGGAGCTAAGGTAAGTGGACAGAAGATATTTCATGTATCAGAAGCAGGAAAGATGTCTCCGGATATATATAAAGTGTTAGATACAGACTAGTTTCCAACTTTACCTGTCACCTGTATCAAGACCTGTGTGTAAATTCCTTTGCCCATACCTTATTTGGTTTTTGTTTTTGCAATGACTTTGCATGTAGGTTTTCGTCAGAATTTTTGAGGATTGGTTTTTGCCCATACCTCATTCTTGATACTCTAGGGGTTATAATCACTTTTGCCCGCTGCACCCCTTGATTAGAGATTTAGATTCTGGTGGTGTCCTTGGGATCAGTGTTAAGCCCTTATGATTTCACCCTTTTTCATGTGAGTAAATAAGCTAAACCAACATGATAATACTTTCACCCATAGAGTTTCCTCTGTGTGTGAATTGGTGAAACAGGCACAGAATGTAATGTTTTACCCTTCCTATGCAGGAAACTTTGACCTAAATGTAAGCATTTCTTGTGTTGATTGGCCAGTTGGATTATGTGGCTGACATTTAAACTAGACATTCTTCTTGTGCTGATGAGCCACAGAGATGGCATAATCCTGTATAGCCGTGGTTTGATGAGCCATGAAATCATAACAAAGAAAATAATTTATTCAAGTCTAAATTTGATATTCTTTTGTCCGCAGACTGGAGTTCCAGCATTCCTTACCATGATGCAAAAGGCATGCAGAGGCTACCCACAATACCTAGCTAACAAACGACAACAAACCAGCTGATGTAGGCTGTTGTGTACACAATTAAAGACATTTAATTTTATTGGTACATATTAATAGATCCATTTATTTGAAGTCTACTATCTTGAACACTACACATACAGGATGTGTTATATGCCATGATGTTTTGTTTTTATTTATTACTACAAGTATTTTTCAGAGACATTTACAGATTTCTCTTGTTATGAAGGCAGAAACAGTCATTGTGGATTAGCATACCTCATTAAGTGAAATACTCCTCCAGATCATGATGTTGATTAATATTGGCAGCCATAACATCATTCTTTAGAATCTGTGTTAACTTAGAGATGTCAGATCTTCTAGTATTGAGAGTTGATAAGTGACTGAAGCTTAATTCTTGTACATGGCTAGATGAGTTAGTGTGGATACAATGATGCCATTAATAATCTTCTTGCATAAATATATTTGAATTACTTCTGTGATCATTTTGAAAATGATTAATTTTTTTTGTTATTATTTTAAATTTAATAAATATTAACATTGCAAATGCATTTTGTTATGTGCTTTATTATCTTGCTTGAGTTGAAAAGCATATACGTGTATTTACCTATCCACACATACAGACCCTATGAGATACATCACTCCTGCAGTTCCAGTCCTTGTTTTTCTCTAACATCGTAAGGAAAAAGTTCAGTAACTATATAATGATACATTTGTGCATGAACTAGATACATGTATGCAAAGCATGTGGTGCACCATTTAAAAAGTGAAAACAGTATAACAACACAACTGTTACTGGGTATAAAAATGAACACAATCATGCTACGTCTAGACATCATACTTTTCTCCGGGATTCAGGGTTATTATTCAGACACAGTTTAGTTATTTCCATGGACCTTATGTCACTATGCATCAGTAAGTAGACCACAACCAGCTAAAAAGCATCTTGGTCCTTTAGAATCGGTCTTAAAGAATTGATGTGACTCCCTTTAAGTATGAGAGTTAATCACAATTACTCAGGTGTTTGTTTGAAAACCCATTTATAATCGGTATCAATTTATTTGGTGTAAATTTTTTTAAAATCCAAATGATGAAATGAAGAATGCTTTGGGTTGTTGGAAAGAAGTTATGAATGACATTTTATGATACCATTTTGCCACAATCGCACTTCCTGGAATTTATTTCGATTAATAAGATGTAATTATTGTACATTTCTGATGTCGACCACTTGTCAGAAGAGTATTGTCTTATATTATTATTATCATTATTATTATTGCACTGGAGAACCTTAATCACTTTAGATATTGTGAAAAATTTAAGCAGGCAAAGCCAATGGTTGATAGAACCGACACCCCTGTATGGTTTGCTTTCAAAGATACTATGGAGGGTTGTTATTGACTTTGTCTCCAGAAATGTCAAGTTGGGATAGGTCCAAAAACACACTAAAATACCATGTAAAAATCACTGGCTATGGCGAGATGTCTTAAGTTAGAAGAACAGCCAAAAGCCAAGCTCAAGCAATTGTATTTAAGAAAGGTTCAGCTTAAAATATAGGTATCAGAACATTTAGATTGATAAAATATTTTGAAGATAGGCAAGAGATTTCATCATGAAGGACAAGTTTAAAAAATATCAAACAGTTTAGGTGGAACATGTATTCAAAGAAGGGATCAACTGATTGTACAGTCTATACATGAAATTCATTGATCATGTATAAAGTCTTATATGTTATGAATGAAAATTGACAGAGGAGGAGAAAATATTCATTCACTTTCGAGGAAACAAATATTTAATAAACAGAGAAGAGATCTTTTCAAGATGGCCACCAAAACATTAGTTCTGTGACCCAATCAATCATCAGATTTCCTGGCACCTTTAAATTTAGAGATTTTGTGTTTGTTATAAGCTTGGGACCTTCTGAACAGGTGGTGACACTTACAGACTTTTTCATGATGCAATAGCATGAAAAATGGCAACGATGACAGACTGGGGGAGTGCAAGAAAAATAAAGATATGAGGAAATTGTTTTCAAACTGGCGATTCCAGATTTACAAGGAAACAACTTATTTCATCTTTGTCCAAACTTCTAAGCCCCTGCATGTCATCTGGTTTTGGTTTGTCCTTGTAACAGCCTGGGTCATTTGTGGATGGACACCTCTTCTGGACTTAAGCATCATTGAATGCCGAAAACTTATGTTTTCCAAGTTATTTAGCCAACAGTTGGCATTCACAGTAGCTGTCTTTATTATTATAACTTTATGTCATGCATGCAATATGTCAGAGATGTACATGGAGAGTTACTGGTGTCTTTAATGCTAATGTAATTTCAAGACATTGTCTTGTTGTTCAAGCATTGCAGTCAGGCTCACCAAGAGAGAAATACTGTGAGCTGATTGGTTCTTTGATATGACATATCTAAAATCTGGTAAGCAAATTCTTTCAGGCAACCAAATAGGATAACTGGTGTACATATGTACTAGAGTTAAGGTAATTTACAACTTCAGAGGAAATCAAGTTAGCTTATGTGCGAGTTGCACCTTGTAACAAAATATGGTCTGAACATTGTGAAAAAGTTCTGGGTAAGTTATTCAAATTAATTCCTCTGTCCCCTGATGGCAACACAGGATGCCACTCCTGGTCAAATAGTGATAGTCAAATATTATTCATTCTGGTTTGTAAATTAATTTGTCTTTGGATTCTGACACATGCTGGTTCTGAAACTGATCCTGGTCAAAACAGCGATGGTCATTCTTTATACTGTTTATTATCTATCAGATTTATAGGGAGGATCATCATTCACTCTAAGTTTACATGTACTTCTATTATTATTTTAAATAACCTGACAGAACTGCTGTGTCATAATCGAGCACCAAAATTTATGTGCGAAAATCTAGTGTATGTAATGCACAGCACATTTTTGACAAAAGTGTAGCACTTCAGATTGTACAACAGACACACAAGTGAATAGTGCATTTTAATACAAATTTAGAGCAAGATACAGTAGAGCCAAACAATGAATTACACTGCATCAAACAGATGTTTCGACTATCAAACAATTTAACTGCAAGTCTGGAACGCTGGCAAGACTTATTTTACGATACATTACAAGTTTGTTCACAAACTTTTTTTTGCTTTTACAAGAATGAAAGTAAAAGAACTCCAAGATATGAAAACGAGTCTTTAAATTTCAAGTTCTCCATGAATTGTTGACCAAAGACATCTGACTACAATGATTACATAGAGGTTATACAACAAGTGGTTGTAGTTACTTTTCAAAAGTTACCTAAAAACAAGAACATTGGCAACTTTCTTAAATTTTTGTTTTTGCAAATACCCTGAATATAACATAACGACCACAAGTGAAGTTATTTGATCTGTTTCTGCCACACTAAAAAAAGGCCATTCGAAAGTTGAATTGACCTGTTCTATAACTACGTGTTTTGTTAATGTCATCAGTCAGGGCGTTATGATATAACCTTTAGTGGTGAAAAATGCTGCTAATTGTGCAAATTAAACTAACAATTTCAGAAATACAAGGAGACAATTAAACTCATTAAAAATAAATAGAACTAAATTGGTTTGTTATTTACAAACAAAAAAATCGAAAGAAGTCCAAATAAAAATAAAATTGTTACAAAAACAGTCATAAACTACTCATGGGCATGAAACTGCTGCCTTTTCGGCCAAAGCTCAGTCAATGAAAACATGCTATCATGTTATACCACATGTGCCCATCTTGTGGATACTACATGCAGAATAATATTTTTGTGTATATGCACCAGATAGAATGATTAATTCATGCTGTGGGAGTTGAATAGCACCCATCTATTGCAGTAGAAATTAAGATTAAAAACAAGTTAATGCTGTTTGCAAAACTTTGGTCGATATAGATTTTTCTGTATATGGATAAAACAAAACCTTTTTGTCTAATGAATAGTTTAAGGCTGAAGGACATTCCACACTTTTTCAACCCCAATGTTGTAATTAGGCAATAACTAAAATTATTTGTTAACTTTTGCAAAGCCAATCTAGAAGATAAACGTGTACATATTCATATAAATATCTGACTTCTGCATTATCATACATTTTAATTCAAGTAAGTTTTCACACTAAAAGTTCAGAGCGAATCGTTGATATTTATTCAGTATTGCCTTTTCTTCAATTTTTTGTCATAACTTATTTCATTATCGTTTTCCTTTTTTCACTGTTTAATTACTAGGAAAATAAGTGCATATCTATTTTAACAGTCCAAATGTTCAATCTCTGTAACTTGAAGCAGAGACGTCTCTGCTTGAAGCTATCATTTATTGCTTAAATCTCCGTGAATATTCCGGGAGCCGATATTATATTTTCACTCTTTTTATTTATTCATTTATCCACTTTAATCTGTCCTACTTAACTGAGATATCAATTTTGGTTATTTCTGCTGTAGATGTAATAGTGAGCTTAACGTAAGAACCTTGTGAGTGACTTAAAAAGGTTTTAGTTTGTTTCGTTTGTTTGTGCCGGAAGCTATTCCGCAAGATATAACAATTACGGAAGCGCCATTTTATTAAACGAGGAGCTTGAGATTAGGGATTGCAGCAAACAAAAGCATACAAACAATTCAAGCCTTTTGGTGTAGCAGACACAGTCCTATCGTTGTAGGTAAAACATGAAAGTAATTTCGATACAGGCAATGTCAGTGTTAACGTGGCTTCCATGAACATGACACGAAGACGTTCATGTTGGTTGTGAACGGTTGCGTTGTTGTGTGGTGGTGCATGCAAAGCTAGTTTTTTTTTACCCCAACGAGACACATATTGCCCTATTCATTTACCCAGAGTATTGATTGTAAATTGTTTCTGTCGCTGCAACTTTAAATGCTGTAATTGATTTCTACATATGCTAGAATTTCTGTTTTTGTGTTTTTGCCCTAAAATTCCTGAAATCATCAAGGTAAATATGAATTAAAATGCAGCAAATAACCATTTCTCGATAAACCAAATCATTCCTATGAAGAGGTGATTGTGAGCTCATGGATGAAAAATTCACTCATATACAATAATAATACAGTATAAGGGGTCCAGATTGCAACAAATATTTTTCATTTTCCGATTTTCTTGGTATGGGAAACAAAAAGTCTATTTAATTACAGAGGTTTGATAAATATCAAAGAAGACAAGTTATACACCTGAGTAATGGTGGCGTTATTTCTTTGACCGTGCACTATTGTTTTACATGATTTCTGATATGTGGCATGTTCATTTGAAATAGTAATGTTATGAGGATAAAATCATTATTTTATGCCCTGAAAAAATACTGTCTTTTTTCAGATGTTATGATATCCAGAAATTTATGCAACTCTGGTCTTGCTGATGATATCAAGAACATATTCCAAATGTGCTGGATTGTAAGGATTTAAGTATACAATGTCAAGAAAGCGACATACTGAGGTGTCTTGGGATAGGTGAGACAACAATATTGAATGTTATGAATATTATCATATATGGCTATTTTTTACCTGGTCATGAATGACCCGCATCAATTAGATATGCATATATGCAGTCAAACTTCTATGAATCAAACTTTGATGATCCAAATTTCTCCATGTATTAAATTATTTTTCCTGTCCTGAATTTTATTCTGGCATATTACTACAAACTTACCCCTTTATGAATCAAAGTTTTATTAATCAAATGTTTTTGATGTATCAAAGTTTTTTCATGGACCATTAGCTTTGTAGTCTTGATAACACAGTAACTGACACATCATGATTCAAAAACAAAACATTTACTTGTACTGTACAGGAATTATTCTGCTCCATGGCAAAATTTCACAACTACCAGACAATGGGATTACTATAGCACACTTTTATTGACTCTGTATTACAAGATTAGTTAATGACTGGACACTGGTTAAAATTTAATTGCTTGCATACTAGCCATGACATTTAATCAAAGAAGATAACTTTCTTGCTGTGTTTCGTCTTATTTCAACTTGATCCATAAAACACATATACTGTGTGACATGAAGGCAAAATGTAAATGTTAGCATGCATTGTTGATTTCTCCTTTATTTCTATTCAAAGTTATGTTGCCTTTTTTCATGAATGAAAATGTTTTGTTTTAAGATAAAAAAATGCATTTTTTTATCTAAACTTGTGTGTTGGTATTCACTGTGTTTGTTCAGGTAGAAATATTGTGTCATCAACTATATATAGTTACGAATGTGAAAATGTCAATATAACCCACCATGAATGATTTAAAGTCTTGATGTATCAAAGTTTTTTGCTAGTCCCTTGAACTTTGAAACACTGAAGTTTGACTGTATTATAATTATATGCTTTCTGCAAATAGTAATTCTAATTTGAATTGATGAAACTCACTGATGAAGCTCATTCAAGTCCAGTATAATTTAGTGAGAATAGGGTACATATTTATTTGTTTTCTTATTTAGTTATTCATAACCACATACAAAGTTATTGTTTTATGTTCATCTGGTCAATTCAGTCTATCAACTTTTTACTAAAATTGCCTCTAGCCGTGAATGACTGTACTGACTTTAAACAAATTTGGCCAGAAGCATTAACTGGGAAAGGAGCAATACAAGCTGTCCAGCGTCCCTAAAATTCCTAAAAAATCCTAATTTTTTTCAGTTTTGCTAAAATTCCTAAAAAAAATGAAAAATTCCAAGTGAATTCCTAAAAAAGTCCTAATTTTTCACTTCAGTTCCTACTTTTTTTTATATTTCTTACATTTTACTGAAAATGTTTTCATTAAATTCATACTTAAAATGTATTTTAATGTAGTCTGTAGTTCTAATTCAGGGTAGACAATGATAGGCAGTTGACCAGTGGATCTATGTACCCAGATTGTTATTGGTTGTGACAGAGGTGTGATTCTTAAGGTCACAGCCAACAGCAGCTGGGACACTGAAACCCTGGAAGGCACCTTTCCTGCAATTAAGGCATTGTATGTTAGTTTCTATTTTGTCAAATTTGCAAAGGTAAGTCAGTTTAATGCTTTCATACTCCCAATTCTAGTTACAAAATTCCTAATCTTAGCCCTAAATTTGCCCTAAAATTTTGTAATTTAAAATCTAAATTTAGCCCAAATTGTTTGTCAAGAAGTGCTGGACAGCTTGGCAATACAAGCCTTATAGGCCTCATGTTTGTTGAGGTAAAATGAATTCCTTACAATGCTCTGCTGTGTTTTGTTACCTAAACTTGATAAAGATTGTTTCAATATTCTGTGCATTAAAATGTATATTGTACCTTGTAAATGGTATTGTAATGGAAGATTTTGTTGGTTTACAGTGACGATGACCTACTTAGGGATGATACGTCTGCCATAAGTGCATTTCCAAAGAGTGAGGTAAGCATTTCGGCTTTCGTCATGGAAAAGAAATTGGTCACCTTGTTCTGACAAATATTTAATTAATAAGGTGAAATTAATAATTCTTTTACATTTTGGCATTAGAACTGCTTTGATGATTATATGTGATGGTATAATGAGTAAAAAATATGAATGGAGACAAATGGTGTATGAAATTATTACCAAAGGAATTAATTTTAATGATTTCTGGTTACCTGAACCATCATGAAACACCCCATGGACCTGTTGTTTACAATCACTTGCAAGAATTCAAGAGAGAAAGATTTTGTAATCGAACAAGTTTACAATGGTATACTAACATGTCTTAAAAACTATGATTCAAAATGATTTATCATTTACCCCTTAGGATGTCTTAATGAATGACCACATTATTTGAAATTTACGTTGACTGCTTTCAGATCCGAGCAGACACAGATGATGAACTAGACGAAGAATTGCTTCTTGGCAGTGATGATGATCAGGAACATATCAACAAAAAATCATCCTCTGGCAAAAAGTCTGTTTCTTCATCGAACAAGTCTTCAAAAGTCAACTCAAAGCCTGTGTCAGTGAAGCAGAAAACTGTTTCCCTGAAATCTAGTGTAAAGTCTGTCTCTGATACAAATGTTCAAAATGACAAACAAAAGCAGGGAAAAACGACAAGTTCTAAGTCACAGACAAGTGTTGTTTCACCAGTGGAAAAGACAAAGGAACCATTCAAATTTACAAAAATTGTACCCCCTTCACCAGATACAGATAAAGAAAAACCTTCAAGGAGTAATACAAATATTAAATCTAATTCAAATTCAAAGGCAGAGTCTACCAAGGAACAACCACCATTGCATGAATCTACCGCAAAAACTTTACGACCACCTCCTCCAAAGGAATTAACTTCTAAGTCACGTTCACATAGGGACCAGTCCCAGAAACACAAGGCTGGTAGGGAGTGTACTTCAAAGGATGAACCATCACCTCCATGTGAACCAGTAAAGAAGGAACCTATCCCAGTTGTAGAGTATGTTTCTCACTATATGTAGTATGTGAGATATAAGTACTACTTTTATTCAGTATGTTACTAAAGTTAGCATGCAATAAGCCATAGAGTCAATACATCACTTCTTACTCAGGTTCAGGAAGGGAGAAGGGGAGCTTATTACTCAACAAAAATAACAAAATAAATGTATGCATGGTTGAGCTTATTACCATTATGATTATCATTGAGTGCCTCGGTAGCCATAATCACTGATGCACTGGCAGTCAAGTTCAAACAGAGCATGGTCATCTCTTTCCCTAAAGAATTTGGTTTGGAGGAACACTAGGTTTGTCAAGTTAGTTCACCAATTGTGAATGTTGGTTTGAACCTGTAGTTATCCTCCCCAAACCCTAACATTTTCTTCCCAAAGTGATGTCATGATGAAAGCTTGACAGAGCCTATGTTGATTGTTGAAATTGTAAATGACATTATAAAGGTTAATTTTTATTTCCTTATGGTAAATATATGGTATGTGTTTCTTGACAGTTATTTAGAGATCAGACATAGGAGAAAATACCTTCAGACTTCGCAAGCCAAATGGGATTTTTAATACCCAGATTTGGAAAATGTTTTATATGAAAACCCACTGGTGAAATTATATCTATAACAAACTAGATATTTGTTCCAGACTTACTTCCAGAAGTGACTTTGAAGATGAAGAGGAGGAGGAAATAGTACTTGATATCTTGGATCCAGCAGCCGACCAAGAACTTTTTGAGGAAACAGACCCCCTTCTACAGTCTAGTCAGGTATACAGAAATTCAGAATTGAACCTGAATGGTTCAGATGTATTGAAATGTTATTATTTACATTTTCTTTAATGTGAAGTATTTGTATTAAAAATTTGTAGTTGAGATGCAAGCAAAGGAAATCTTACTTTTTTAGATGTATACATGGCTTTTAAATATATACTGAAAAGTGGACTGAAAAAACTTAAATTTAATCTTCACAAGTATGATACGTAAATACGGAATCAAGAAATGGTCTGAAGTAAGAATAAGAATGGTAGGGGTGAAGTTGTAATGCACTTGCCTTTCACAAGGTGTCTTGGTTTAAATTCCCAAAAAGGACATTAGAGCTGAAAAGAATAGCAGATTTTGGTATTGGAATATTCGTTCAATGTATGAATGGTAATGTGGTCAATTAGATCTATGTACATGCATTCAACTAGATACCAGTTTTCTTAATGTTTTATTTAACTTATGAATGGGGAAAAATATATTTCAAGTTTTATGTTTAATTTCAATAAAAGATACCTTCAATTAGAATCGGGGGTGAAACACATCAAAATCTGGAGAGCAATTAGTAAAGCTAGACTCAAGGTGGATCATGTTGTGAGATGATGAGCTATTTTTTTTTATGATAAAATGACCCAGCATAGCATACATTCAGCTGTAGATTTCGCTGAATTCAATGGTAAATTTTCCGGAACCTAACTTAAACACTTTTCCGTGTTTGCAATAAAGGAGTAAAATTGTACTGAATATTTCAATACCAATTCACTATTCGAATGTTCAGGAAATATGTCTTCATTTGTGAATGTTGGAACATTAATTTAAATTGTGAATTAGATGTGGAAGAATATGAGGTCACCTGTCTGACCATTTGGGTTTTCCCCGCATACTCCAGTTTTTACCACATTAATACCCCTCCCTCGCTTCCTTCTGACTCAATAAGAGGGATAAATATAAGTTAGAAATATTTGCTTTGCAACAGTTATGAAATAATTCAGAATTAAAAAAAAAGTACATGATTTCTTTAGTAGAAAATCAAAAGATAGATATTGTTGAATTTCTTAATTATTTCAATTTGCCAAATTTATTTTGTTTCATTTTCTTAGGTGGTATCTCATATTTAGTATATACAACAATAAAAAAAATCAACATTTACAAAAAGTACAGACATTTTGATAGTGAGGGAATCCTTGTGTCAAATCAGTTAGAGGGCTTGCAAATATTAAGTAAACCGTAAGTAAAGTAACCCTTTGTCATGAATATCAGCATAAAAATGATCACTAATAAAACTTGCTCTGTGTGTTCCAGGATTCTTTATTGAAGGAGACAGATGTAGAAGAGGAAGAAGATAATGAAGAAGAAGAGGAGGAGGAGGAGGAAGAAGAAATGGAAGAAGAGGAAGACGAAAATCAAGCTATTGCAGAGGAAGATTCTACCCTAGAGGTCATTATTCACAAGTTTTGTAGTCATTGACATTGCTACAATGGAACCATTATAGGATTCTGTTTGTTCTGATTACAAGTTATACAGAATTTATCATTTGGCCTCTTGTTTAAAATGTTGTAATATAAATTAATGCACAATAGATCTTTGTGATCTTAATCCATTCACCTTGTCTCATATCATTGAACAAAGCGGAAATAGTAAAACACGAATTAGACAAAGTTGACCAAATTAAGTATTTGACTTATCTGATGGTTCCACTTAGCTATATTTCTATGAAGGAAACATTGTGCATCGATGATTGACCCTATTTCCATTAGTTGTTCACCAGATGGATGTTTCATAGCATGGCTAACATTGACGAATAAGTAATAAATTAATAAAAAAAAAATTGTAATTTTATTCACTTATGATATTTTAAATTGAAATAAACAGTTATAAGGAATATAAAACGAAAAAAGTATTGTGAAGTACTCGTCATTGAATTGCAGCACACATGTTGATACACACCCACTCTCATACAAATAACTTAGTGAAATTGATACACAAAGTAATACAAATAGTGTACTGACATTTATATCATTAAGATATCTCCTGTTTTTAAAGTAGGCCAACTCAAATTTTCTGTCACACAATGTTGTAAATCTTTTTTGGTCGACCTGTAAGTACAGACAAGGATGGAACAGATAGAATAAAAATGAAAACATAATCAAACTGCTTACAAATAAATTTCATCCCTATCTTGTCTGAAGTAATTCTGATATGCAAGAGCTATAAAATTCTCTGTGAAATATATAAAGCAAATCCTTCATTTAAGGAATCAACAAGAATGAGGTACTAATATAAGATTTGCAATTCTAGGCTTTTTTGGTTGTCTTTGGTCTGTCTGTAATAAAAAAAAATGTCTTAACACTATTTTTTTGGTGACACAGAGATTGTAGTCAGTTGAACATGATGTATAATGAGTGTTGCTTAAAGAACAGCATGTATTGGCTTTATCAGAACTCCCAGATGGAAGTTGCTGAGGAAGAACATGAAACAGAAAGCGATAGTGATTCTGATGAGTCTGAATCAGGAAGAGGACGGTTCAAGTCAGAACGAGCCAAGATTGTCACTACAACGACAGTGAAAGCCAAACCCAGAGATATTGATGCCATACCGGACACACTAGGTAGTTGTTGTTTATCTTGCTTACAGTGATGAAAAGTAAAATGATGGTAATATAATGTCATCCTGATCTTTGTATTGATATAATTTTGTCACACACAGTCATTACAAATTTTAAGTTGTCAGTGCTGGTTTAAAAAAATAAACCATAAAAATTCAATTTTGATATGCTTGTCATCCAAATAATTTAAGAGAAAATCTTTACTCAGAACACTTCCTCCCCTATATGTTATAAATTAATCTTGATCCATCATGAATTAAAGAAAATCTGAAAAAAAATGGTCGGCAGATTAGAGATAAGGAATAGAAGAATGAAAGATTATTTCTCCATTTTGTTGGTTTTGATAACAGCAGAATGATCTAAATTTGTGTGATTGATTGACAGAGATTTCAGAAGAGCAGCAGGCCCAAATTGATGAATTCATGGTTGCTGGAGGCAAGAGAGGTCGCGGCAGAGGTCGAGGTCGTGGCATTGGAGGGCGGGGTGGACAAATGGCACAGTCTGGACGTTTTCCACCTTATCAAGGTCAAGGTCAAAATTACGGACAGCAGCAATCCCAGCAATACCAAGGACAAATGTATAACATGCCTCCAAACTTCCCAATCCAAAGTCAAGGTCCTTCCGGACCAGGATACATGAATCAAGGTCAGATGCACCAAGGTCACATGGGTCAAAATCTGAACCAAAATCAATCAAGTCATGTGCCTTCAGCACAAAGTTATTCCAGTCATGGTCCATCAAAAATGAGTATTGATGTGAGTGAGAGTCTACAAGGCCACACTCCACCAGTTCCTCTAACATCCAAGTCTTCGGTACCAACATTATTCACTCTGGCAGGTTTGGATAAACCAAAGCCGCAGCAGCCACAACCCCGTAAGATCCTCATCAACCCTCATTTCCGAGGTCCTGCTCAGCCTCAGCATGACCGCCCCCCGGCTTCTGCTGGTACAGCCATGCCACAGTCAGGGCCACAGATGCCTGTCCCCTACCAAGGCTCCACTAGTCAACCCCAAACTCACCAACACCCACAGGTATATATAAAAAAATAGAAGTCCTCATGTCAATCACTAATGGCGTTATCATTTTCATGTTAAATCATGTTAATACAATTGCACCAAGTACATTAATTTGCTTTTCACATGTGATAATTCTGATAATCAGCCATATATACCTCGTTTTCCTCATAACTGACATATTTTTAATATCAGGAAGATGATATGGATCAGTTGTTTGAACAGTTTACCCAAAAGTGATATAATGGAATTTAGGTATATTGAATGTCTTTACTGGACAGGTTTTAAGACACAGTACAAGTATCACTACTGTTTTTGAATGTATTGGTGAGGAGGCTGTATTTGTGATTAAGTAGTTAGATTATGAAATTTTTTTTAAGATTTTCTCAGTGACTCAGGTTGTATAGTATTAGATATATTATTTTAATCCTGACAAAAGGAAAGTTTATATTGAATAATAGACATTTTCTGTATGGTGTGTGTTTCAGGACCGAACCTGGCCTCCACACTCCCAGCCCTCAGGCCCTCCCTACCCTGTTCATAATACTCCACCCAAGTCACAGCCTGCAGGAGGCTTTCCCCAAAGAGCACAAGGATTTCCAGGTAAGTTGTGCGTTGTAACCTTTTAAGAATTTCAACTTCTTGAAAACTGCTTAAACGATTTCATTGAAATTTTACAAAATCCTTCCATGACTTAAGGCACACCAAAAGTGTAAATTATATGATCCCCAACCCCGAGGGCAGGGACAAAAATGGGTCAAAATGACTGAAATTTCCAAAATCATCTTCTCAAATCCCTGGTATGGTAGAATTAAGTATTCTTCATGGATGGAAAGGCAATACTTTCATGGATGGAAAGGCCTTCAGACACTTTAGCAAAATTGTTAAATTTCACGACCCCAGGACCTCACATTTTCCCCAGGGGAGGGGGTAAAGTTTACTAAGTTTATTTAGGAAAATCACATTTTTGAACTGTATTTATTTATTTTCTATTGGAAATAATTCAGACCTAGTCAGAATGGTATGCATATATTGATCCTGACTGACCTTGGGTGGCTGATGGATGGGGCCAAAAGGGATGAAAGCGGCTCAAAGTGCTTTAGATGCCGAAATGGGTCTCACATTTATTCCTTGGATGGAGGTTAACATTAGTACAAGTTTTTTTTGTAGAAATATTGCTTTTTTGAGATTAGCGTTGTTTATTTCCTACTGGGAATAACTTTTTTTACTATAGGACGGCAGCTGTGATGGTATGCTTGCATTGACACTGGCTTACTATCATCAGTGTCACAATTTCTTTTTCATGACACTTGAAAGCTACTTACCCTTCTCAGTTGACCATCAAGGCCATTAGGCCTCTTGTTGAGTATGATTTGTTTATTTTCTATTGGAAATAGTTCAAACCTGGTTAGAATGATTCTGCTTCCCGAAGGGAGAGCATACAGTCACTGCTTTGTCTGTCAGTCCATTTGTCTGTCCACCATAATTTTGTCCGGAGCATAACACAAATGCTATAAAAGGTATCAGCATAAGACTTCATTGGTAGATAGATCTTGATGAGGACAAGTGCAGTGTACAAGAACCATAACTCTCCTTACGTAAGCATTATGTGTACAATATAGTTAAAGTTATATTACTGTTTTCAACAAAATCATTTCAAAGATATGTTACAAGAAGCATTGTGACTCAGGTGACCGTTAAGGCCCCTTTTTTTTAGCTTGATTGGAACATTTTATTCTATAGACTTTAATTACTGTGGCATACCTAGAATCACTTTTCATAAAAATTTCACTAGTTTTGTGTCATTTTCTACCCCTGTGGAGTAATTCCAGAAACACCTGTAACAGTGAAAGTTCAACATATTGATATCAAACTAGAAATTATTGCGTTTTTAGCAACAAGTGAGAGCTCTGTGCGAGATGGTAAGTGGATATCATTAGAAAGCTTGTTTTTCATTTGGTTATTGCTTTGGGTTTTTTTTTAATTTCTCTGCCCTGTAATGATTAGTTGTTAATTAATTGAATCAATTCTTGTTAAAAAAATAAGAAAAAAGATAGATTACTGTGGAGGTTGATAGAGTTAAGTTTATCTTGTGAAAGATTTGAGAAAGAAAATATGTGTACTCCCTTTCATAGGGTTTGGACATCAACTTGTAAAATTTCTTTGGGAGAGCAGCTATATATAACAATAAAGGAAATTTAAAGGCTATTGATAAACTCAAATCATATGAAAGATGCAAGGTAAGGTTTTTTACTCTTGCTTTTGAGTGATATCAATATTACATCCTGCTTTTTAAGAATCTGGGAATTCTGCCATCATGGATAATGTAGAGGATGATGGTATGAGCAAAGAGTTGCAACCTTTGAATTCTTTCTTGTTCTGTTGATTGTTTAAATTAACAAACTATTATTGTTTATTGCTTAGTTTTCACTGCTTTTCAAGTTGTTGAGAGTTCGGTATGTTTTTTCAGTTTACATATTTTTCAATGTCATTGAAATACTGTACACAGCTTTTAATTGGTGCAGTGGTATTTTTGCAATGTTTCGAGGCCAGCATTCACACCACTTAGTGCATGTTTTCCTACCAGGGCAGAAGTCTCTCATGTTGAAAGATGTCAATTACAATTTTATATAAATAATTGCTATAACCATTTCATGTTGATATTCAAGCAAATGATGAAAAGCATGAAAATAATGCTGCTACAAAAATATTTAAATAGGTTATAAAACATCCTTGGGTAGAAGAAAACTGTAAATAATTAAAAACATAATTGTAAAAACCCTATTTTGATTAATTGGTATCAACAGAATGATATGTTAAAATGTTCTAGTCTCTAGTCATGATAATAACTATATGTTATTAAAGACATCAGCAGACAAAAACTGATTACATTTCTGCTCAATCTATAAATCCATATATATATCACCTTGTTGTGGGCATTACTCATACACTCTGTCATCAGTATACTGGGTATGTGAAGTAGGTGCCTCTTCTAGTGACCTGTTCTTGCTAAATACAATGTATTGGCTATTTTTTTATTGTGCGAATCTTGTTTGAGGCATTATTTGGTTTTGATTTTACTGCCTGACAAAATTTGCAAGTACAAGTACTTACCTCATTTAAAATAGAAGCATGGTAAACTAGACTGGTTATGTGTCTCATTGAGAAATGGTTTTAAGTTAAAGAAGATTGTTGATGGCCAGTACTGGCTATATATTACAGGGGATTGTTGACTGGGTGAGGACTGGCTATAGATTACAGGGGATTGTTGACTGGGTTAGGACTGGCTATAGATTACAGGATATTGTTGACTGGGTGAGGACTGGCTATAGATTACAGGGGATTGTTGACTGGGTGAGGACTGGCTATAGATTACAGGATATTGTTGACTGGGTAAGGACTGGCTATAGATTACAGGATATTGTTGACTGGGTGAGGACTGGCTATAGATTACAGGATATTGTTGACTGGGTGAGGACTGGCTATAGATTACAGGATATTGTTGACTGGGTGAGGACTGGCTATAGATTACAGGGGATTGTTGACTGGGTGAGGACTGGCTATAGATTACAGGGGATTGTTGACTGGGTGAGGACTGGCTATAGATTACAGGGGATTGTTGACTTGGTGATGACTGGCTATAGATTACAGGATATTGTTGACTGGGTGAGGACTGGTTATAGATTACAGGGGATTGTTGATGGGTGGGGACTGGCTATAGATTACAGGGGATTGTTGCCTGGGTGAGGACTGGCTATAAGTTACAAGGTATTGTTGACTGGGTGAGTACTGGCTATAGATTACAGGATATTGTTGACTGGGTAAGGACTGGCTATAGATTACAGGATATTGTTGACTGGGTGAGGACTGGCTATAGATTACAGGGGATTGTTGCCTGGGTGATGACTGGCTATAGATTACAGGGGATTGTTGACTGGGTGAGGACTGGCTATAGATTACAGGGGATTGTTGACTGGGTGAGGACTGGCTATAGATTACAGGGGATTGTTGCCTGGGTGATGACTGGCTATAAGTTACAAGGGATTGTTGACTGGGTTAGGACTGGCTATAGATTACAGGATATTGTTGACTGGGTTAGGACTGGCTATAGATTACAGGATATTGTTGACTGGGTGAGGACTGGCTATAGATTACAGGGGATTGTTGACTGGGTGATGACTGGCTATAGATTACAGGGGATTGTTGACTGGGTTAGGACTGGCTATAGATTACAGGGGATTGTTGACTGGGTGATGACTGGCTATAGATTACAGGATATTGTTGACTGGGTGATGACTGGCTATAGATTACAGGGGATTGTTGATGGGTGGGGACTGGCTATAGATTACAGGGGATTGTTGACTGGGTGAGGACTGGCTATAGATTACAGGGGATTGTTGACTGGGTGATGACTGGCTATAGATTACAGGATATTGTTGACTGGGTGATGACTGGCTATAGATTACAGGATATTGTTGATGGGTTGGGACTGGCTATATATTACAGGGGATTGTTAACTGGGTGAGGACTGGCTATAAGTTACAAGGGATTGTTGACTGGGTGGGGACTGGCTATGATTACAGGATATTGTTGACTTGGTTAGGACTGGCTATAGATTACAGGATATTGTTGACTGGGTGAGGACTGGCTATAAGTTACAAGGGATTGTTGACTGGGTGGGGACCGACTATAGATTACAGGGGATTGTTGACTGGGTGAGGACTGGCTATAGATTACAAGGGATTGTTGACTGGGTGGGGACTGGCTATAGATTACAGGATATTGTTGACTGGGTGATGACTGGCTATAGATTACAGGATATTGTTGACTGGGTGATGACTGGCTATAGATTACAGGATATTGTTGACTGGGTAAGGACTGGCTATAGATTACAGGATATTGTTGACTGGGTTAGGACTGGCTATAGATTACCGGATATTGTTGACTGGGTGAGGACTGGCTATAGATTACTGGCTAGGATTATTGTTGACTGGGTGAGGACTGGCTATAGATTACAGGGGATTGTTGACTGGGTGAGGACTGGCTATAGATTACAGGGGATTGTTGACTGGGTGAGGACTGGCTATAGATTACAGGGGATTGTTGACTGGGTGAGGACTGGCTATAGATTACAGGATATTGTTGACTGGGTGATGACTGGCTATAGATTACAGGATATTGTTGACTGGGTGAGGACTGGCTATAGATTACAGGGGATTGTTGACTGGGTGATGACTGGCTATAGATTACAGGGGATTGTTGACTGGGTGACTGGGAGGACTGGCTATAGATGGCTATATATTACAGGATATTGTTGACTGGGTTAGGACTGGCTATAGATTACAGGGGATTGTTGACTGGGTGAGGACTGGCTATAAGATTACAGGGGATTGTTGACTGGGTTAGGACTGGCTATAGATTACAGGATATTGTTGACTGGGTTAGGACTGGCTATAGATTACAGGATATTGTTGACTGGGTGAGGACTGGCTATAGATTGTTACAGGATTATTGTTGACTGGGTGAGGACTGGCTATAGATTACAGGATTGTTGATTGTTGACTGGCTATAGATTGGGTGATGACTGGCTATAGATTACAGGGGATTGTTGACTGGGTGAGGACTGGCTATAGATTACAGGGGATTGTTGACTGGGTGAGGACTGGCTATAGATTACAGGGGATTGTTGACTGGGTGATGACTGGCTATAGATTACAGGGGATTGTTGACTGGGTGAGGACTGGCTATAAGTTACAAGGGATTGTTGACTGGCTATAGATTGGGTTAGGACTGGCTATAGATTACAGGATATTTTTGACTGGGTGAGGACTGGCTATAGATTACAGGGGATTGTTGACTGGGTTGACTGGGTGAGGACTATAGATTACAGGATATTGTTGCTGGGTATGACTGGCTAGATTACAGGGGATTGTTGACTGGGTGAGGACTGGCTATGGCTATAGATTACAGGGGATTGTTGACTGGGTGAGGACTGGCTATAAGTTACAAGGGATTGTTGACTGGGTTAGGACTGGCTATAGATTACAGGATATTGTTGACTTGGTTAGGACTGGCTATAGATTACAGGATATTGTTGACTGGGTGATGACTGGCTATAGATTACAGGGGATTGTTGACTGGGTGAGGACTGGCTATAGATTACAGGATATTGTTGACTGGGTGAGGACTGGCTATAGATTACAGGATATTGTTGACTGGGTAAGGACTGGCTATAGATTACAGGGGATTGTTGACTGGGTGAGGACTGGTTATAGATTACAGGGGTGTTGACTGGGTGATGACTGGCTATAGATTACTGGGTGATGGGGGGACTGGCTATAGATTACAGGGGAATGTTGATTGATTGTTGGTGGCTATATATTACAGGGGAGGACTGGCTATAGATTACAAGGGATTGTTGACTGGGTGGGGACCGACTATAGATTACAGGGGATTGTTGACTGGGTGAGGACTGGGTTACAAGGGATTGTTGACTGGGTTGCTATAGATTACAGGAGGATTGTTATAGATTACTGACTGGGTGAGGACTGGCTATAGATTACAGGGGATTGTTGACTGGGTGAGGACTGGCTATAGATTACAGGGGATTGTTGATTGGGTTAGGACTGGCTATAGATTACAGGGGAATGTTGATGGGTTAGGACTGGTTGTAAGTTACAGGATATTGTTATGGGTTAGGACTGGTTGTAAGTTACACGATATTGTTAATGGGTTAGGACTGGGTGTAAGTTACCCAAGGTTGTTGATGGGTTATGACCGGTTGTAAGTTACAGGAGATTGTTGATAGGTTAGGACTGGTTGTAAGTTTCAGGAAATTGATGACAGGAGAGGATTGGTTGTAAGCTACACGATATTATTGATGGGTTAGGACTGGTTGTAAGTTACACGATATTGTTGATGGTTTAGGACTGGTTGTAAGTTACAGGAGATTATTGATGGGTTAGGACTGCCTGTAAGTTACAGGAGATTGCTGATGGGTTAGGACTGCCTGTAAGTTATAAGATATTGCTGATGGGATAGGACTGCCTGTAAGTTACAGGAGATTGTTGATGGGATAGGACTGCCTGTAAGTTATAAGATATTGCTGATGGGATAGGACTGCCTGTAAGTTACAGGAGATTGTTGATGGGATAGGACTGGCTGTAAGTTATAAGATATTGTTGATGGGTTAAGACTGGTTGTAAGTTAAAGGAGATTGTTGATGGGAGAGGACTCGCTATAACTATGAGTTAAAGGAGATTGTTGATGGGAGAGGACTCGCTATAACTATGAGTTAAAGGAGATTGTTGATGGGAGAGGACTCGCTATAACTTATAAGATATTGTTGATGGGTTAAGACTGGTTGTAAGTTTCAGGAAATTGCTGATGGGAGAGGACTGCCTGTAAGTTACAGGAGATTGTTGATGGGAGAGGACTGCCTGTAAGTTATGGGAAGATATTGCTGATGGGATAGGACTGCCTATAACTATTACAAAAAAGAGATTGTTGATGGGTTAGGACTGGCTGTAAGTTTCAGGAAATTGATGATGGGAGAGGACTTGCTATAACTATGAGTTAAAGGAGATTGTTATCTGGGTTACTTGCATATTATGCCTTGTCAGGATTTGTATTCATAGTATAATTTTTTGGTGTTCTGTTGACATACTTAAGTGAAACAATCATAGTTCAAATATTGGTCGCTGGAATATCTTTTAAAATTGAAAAATATTTTAGGTAGTTCTTTGAAATTTGTGTATCACATATAATTTAACAATAATTTATTTCAAATTCAAATTAAAAAAAAAACACCAATGAATCAAATAATATTGTGTTAAGTGAAAAGAAATTTCCTGAAGCCATGAACTTATTTACCCAAGCTTATTTCAGATTTATATGATAATGATGCTATCCTTTCTTACCCATAGGTGGGCCTCGACCTCAGCAAGGTTTTCCACAGAGTAGTGGGCCCCCAAATATGTTCCCTGGTGGTCCTTCAGGTCCTAGAGGACCACAACCTGTCCCAAACCATCCTCAAATGGGTATGCCTCCCCCCGGGCATCCCCAACATCGCCCTCTTGGACCATTCCCTGGTTCCATGGATAATAGATTTGGTCCTCCCCCTCAGCAGAGATTTCCATCACCGGGAGGCATGAATCAGTTCAACAATCCACCCCGCCAGCACCAGCCCGGCCCAGGAGGACCTGGTCTATTGGGCAATGCACCTCATCAGCACCCTAGGGGTAACCAGTTTCCACCTCACATGAATCAGAACCAGCGTCCTCCCCATCATGGTGGACCAAGGCAACAGTTCCATCTGAACCAGCAAGGTAATCCAGGTAACCAAGCCAGTAGAGGTAACCAAGGTAATCAGCAACACTTTCAGCCTCCAATGCCACCACATCAGATGAGGATGCCCCAGAATAATCAGCAGCCTCGTCATCCCATGCAGCAACATCTGCCCCGGCAACATCATCCACACCAACAACAGCCACGCCAACAACAGCCACATATGCAAAATCAGAACCGACAGAATCAGTTCCAGCCAAGACAGCAGTTCAGTGGCAACAAAAGAAAGTAAGTTTAGAGAGTTTAGTGTTATTTTCATGTTGTACAGTGGAATATCATATAGTGTAATGTAGTTGGATTGTTTGTATCTTTTGTTTTAGGGAAACACATTATAAACTGAAATAATGGAAACATCTACATATTAAAACAATCTACTAGTGACAATTGGATCATATATTTGAAAAGTTTATTTCTAGCTTTCCGTGTTGTTTGTTATGTACATGTTACATTCTTCCAGCTGTATGAATGAGTAAAGGCAATGATGGGAAGTAACTTTGTGACAGGCTGACCTCTTTTCAGAGGTCTTACTTCATAAGCGATTCTTGATAATCTGATAAAGTATTACAATTCTTGTATATTTTAACAGCTTCAACAGGACATCCCAGGAAGACAATCAACAGATTCAGAGTATACAGGTGATCAGTCGTGGAAAACGCCAGCCTGCAGACAAAGACAAAATTGAACACTCTCCTGCTAAAGTAGCGAAGTCAGAGGTAGGGTAAATTGTACAGTCAAGGTCAGAAATTGATGGACAGAAATAGGCAAGTAGACTTTTGCCAAAAAAACATACCATTATTTTATGCAAGTTTTTATCATCAGATGTTATGTTTAGCTGGAAGAAATGATGTATGCTAGCTAGGTTGTTAGGAAAGTCCAAATTCCAAAAATCATCTCTGGTTAAAACCTGTCAATCTACCATTGAAAAGGAGTTAAAAGAAACACTTTACAATTAACTCTGTATATAAGTTGTATATGCGTATGAGTGAATCAAAGATTTGTTTGTAGGAGATAGTTGACCCAGTTTTAAAAGCCAAATTGGAAGAGCAAAAACAAAAGAGAGATCGCATCATTAGGTTAAAGGAAGCAAGAAGACAGGCTTTAGCTGGTGTGAGGAGATCTCAGCTAGAGAAAAAACTGGCAGAGGAAGGTGAGAGATGACAAGTGTTTATTATAAATAGAAAACTTAACTGAAAAAACCTGCTGAGGATATATGTTACTTAATGAGTAACTGTTGTCTATATTGTCTTGTTAAATGCCAAAATAGGCTTTCATGGACAAATTATATGTAAAGAAAGGACTGGGGTGACATAGAAAAGACTGATTGATTTTGGTAAAGGCAATGGCTTTAAGGGTATTTTCATCCCCAACATATTTGGAGAGGAAGAGGGAGACATAGAATTACTCCAGTCCATACTATCATCTTATGTCAAATCAGTGTCATAGCTTAAGAACCTCTCCATGGATTTGGCCCATATGAAACCTTAGCGGTAACTTCTACCCTTATCCTATTAATTGGTCAATTTTAAGAAGCTAAAGGTCATGTTTGGAAGCTTCTACAAATTCATCTAACAATGATACTTATAATGTGTGGGAGAAGGTGGTTTCATGTCTTACAGACATTTTTTAGATTCTCGTGTTTATATTTAATCTAATTGATCATGTTTACTGTTTTACATCAAAGTAATGTTACATTAAATGTATTGTGATATGAAGACAACTGAGTAATAAAAAAAAATTGATTACAGGAAAGACCATAGCTGATGTAGAAAAGAGTGTTGTTTCTTCTCCAGCAGTTAAAAATAACACAATAGGCCAAGTTGTGAGGCAAAATAGTGCTGGTCATCAAGGTCAAGGTCAAAACCAGAGTCAGCATTTTCAGCACCGGGCCCCTAATACGGGACAGCCACGATTTGGCCCAAGGCAATCCCAACAGTTAGGTGGTCCGCGTGGGCCAGGACAGACCGGTCCAAGGCAACGCTTCCCTGGTAACAGGCCAGGTGGTCCAAGAGGAGGACAACACCTTGAGGGTCCAAGACCTCCAGGTCCAAGACCTCCAGGTCCAGGGAATACCAACCCACCAAATACAAATGTTCAACGTCAAAATTCTCAACCAGGCAATCAGAACAGACAAGTAAATATGCCTAGTCAGACAACATCTCAGGGAAATACTAACCAAAATGCTAGCTCTGGAAAGGATGGGAACCTGGTTCTGAAACAGAGGGTTACCATTCTGAAGAAAGATATACATGGAAAAGTGATTTCTAGAACAATTATGTTGAAGAATATCAGCAAACCAGGAGGTGTTAAAGATGACCGTAAGGTGACCATTCCTGGTGGTAACACACAGAGGACAGTGGTCAACAAGCCTGCAGGACCTGTTCAGAGAAAAGTTGTCCAAAATCAGGAAGGCAGGGTGAGTTTTTCCTGAACGGATCAATATGATACTTGTGTATATTATGTCTAAGCTCTTACTGGTTGATGGCCGTATTATGTGTTGATGGGCTGTTATTTTTTTTTTATTGAAAACATTACATATATTGAAAGACTAGAAAAACGTTTCTTGTACAATTTATATGTATATTATAATTCTCCTGGAAAATATTATATGATATTTGTAAAGTAAAAACCTAAAAAGTATCAAGCAGGTTAAAAAAGTTGACAGATTCTGATGAGAAATATTGAAGTTTCCAGATCATTGCTTCTGAGATGTCCCTAGACATGACATTGTCTTTGGGCCTTTGATCTGAGGAAGTGCACTCAGTTAATTTACTGTCTTACTTGGTTACAGATATTTGTATCCCTTGGTATAAAAGATGCACAAGCTACCAAGTGGTTATCTTTCTAATTTCTGAAAGGTCAAAGTTACTTATGTAACTAGAAAATAAGTTTTTCTAGTTTTACTAGCAAGGGTTTGCTAATAAAACACCCCCTCCTTACAGTGCTTCTTTTGAATTATATTTAGGTCATAAGTCTGATGTCTGGATCTGTTATCAATATGTATTTACAATTGGTTTCGGCACAATAATGTTATTTCTCTTGACATGAGCAAATTCAAATATAGACTTTGCTGTTCTGTTGACAGAGGGTGGTTGTTGGAGAGTCACCTCGCATGTCCAAGGTTGTGTCTGTTGACAACCTCTCTGTGTCCACCACGGAAGCTAACATCAGGAAGATGTGTTTTGGCATCGGAGAGGTAGAGGTAAGTAGTGATTGGAAATGGTAGGTTTTTACTTGTTAAGATACCTTGGTTGCATAGAAACACAAGTACAAAAAAGACAAAAAAGAGTGTTAGACTGATTTATGAACTGTGTTGTAATTTTAAAAATTTAGACTTGCTATATAGTTGTATATGTTTAAGAAATGAATGTAGCCTTGATATTGTATTGTTATGTAATACTCATTTAAGAAAAGTTATATCCAATAAAATATTCACAAAAGGTTTACTACCGATGAAGGGAAGGTGTGAACGACACACTTACTATAGTATTGAACAAAGTATTGATACTATTGTATTGAAGTATTCAAATAATCGAGTCAAGTATACAACGACCTCTGTGATTGGTCGGGGGCGGAGTTTAGACAACCTGAATAGTTGATCTGACACCCAATTTGTTCCGGTAGGCGGAGTTATTGTACACTATCAGTTACATAACAATTACTAAGTAATCGCTGGAAACATGTCCGACGACGGCAACAGTACGCAAAATTTTCTTCGACGAAATTATGTCCGATACGAACGATATGGGGAATCCTGTTTTTGTACAAGGCGATGTGGTTGTGATGGATAATTGTGGATTCCATCACCATAGACAGGGAGAGCGCATTTTAAGAAATATGCTGAAAGAATATGGCGTGTCCCTGGTTTTTCAGCCGCCTTATTCCCCGGAATACAATGTAACTGAATATGTATTCAATGTCATGAGACAGAGGCTTCGGGCAAATACCCGACTTGTGTCAGAATTTCTGGAACTTGCAGTAGTAAATGCTCTAGATATTCCGCCCAACCAACTTCAAAGTTTTTTCACATGTTGCGGATATGTATAATTTTCGATGGAAAGATCAAAAATAAAATAAAAAATATATGGGACCACAGAATTCCTTTATCTTTTAATGCAGTATGAATTATCGGCATATATCAGGAGGTCCCAGGTAATTCGTAATTCTTTGTTACATATAATAGAGCTTGGGCTTAAACCGAAATATTTTGAGCCAACCTCTCTCTCTCCCCCCCCCCCCCCCCCCTCCCCCCCCTTTCAAAAAAATAAATATATGAATAAAACTAGTACAGAATGACTATATGACTATATTCACTGTTAAGATGTTATGAATTCTCCGGTCCCAGTGATCTAACCTGTTGATATATATTTTGTACGTAAATTAGTTTAGTACTGAGTAACTTTCGTTTCTCGTTGTACCATCGATGGAAAAGCAAGGTACCATTGGGTGTAGAA